TTTCTAAAATGTTGACTTTCTTCACATCTGAAAATATCAAAAAATGGCACTTCCATTCACATTTACCTATGGTTTAAAGTAATGTACTTCAACTTGCATTTAGCTTCAAAGCTTATTTATAACTGAGATAACATTTGCAAGGCATTTCTGTTTCTAATCTTAATAGTCATATGATATGTGGCATTAGCGTAGTAAACACCATTCAGACTAGCACAGTTACTTCTGTTGATCCAGTACATTTTCATTAAATTGTAAAAATTTGAAACAAATGTCCCCGAAGTTAAGGCAGGCAGAGCCTTTGAGGCTTACACTCAGAAAAATAACAACTAAACCACTGTGGAAATCCTTGAAGATTCTTTATCAGAATTTGAAGCATTTTTTAAGGTAGATTCTAGAAATGGATTGGATATGTAAAATAAAATTCCTTTTTGTAAACACACTTGCTAAAACTTTTATAGTTTTGAAAATAAGCCCTCCCCCCAAAAAACCTCATTGGTTAAGGATAAAAAACAGCTTCCTAAAAACAGCTATTAATTATATCGTTCATTTACTCATGGTTATAGGGAAGATGATGCTCACCAGTGGGCACGTCTATGCGAGATGCTACTGTGCAGTGGTTACTGCACATTTATTTAGTACTTGTGTAATCAAGTACTAAATAAATACTCAGTAACCAGAGTTACTGTGCAGTAGCTTCAGCAAATGCCTTTTAAGTGATGCTACTGCGCAATAGCCTAGTAATACCGTGCTGTAGTGTATTAGCACTGTTGGTGCTGTGATGCACTACTGCACAGTATTTTTTGGCTAGTGTGCAGTTAGTGTCTCATGTAGATGCACCCACCTAGTAGGATATCACTCAGAAAAGATAGGAAGTGACTGGCAGCATAGATTTAGCTGTAATTATACTGCTTAGGGGGTTTTAAGGTCAATAGGCAAAATCTTTTGAGTCTTCTGCTCATGTTTTGAGATCTATGGGATGTCTCTAGTGACTCTGAGACAACCATGAAGATAGCAGTCCTCAACTTCAGGTCAGACTATGGGAAATTTTGCCCTATTAATTCCAAAATAATTAGTCCTCAGAAACATGGTACAGTAGAACCCAGATAATTTTTATCAGTGTGGTTCACGACCCACTTATTTTGCAACAGGTTTAAGATGAATCCCTCAGCTCTTTGCTGCAGCTTTTACTTCAAAGGATGCTACTTCTCTGATCAGCTGGAGATCATCAGCTGTCCTGCAGAGGTGATGGAAGAAGTGGCAAACAGCTGGTGCTTCTCAGTGGTCTTGTGCAGCTGTTTGCTGTGGCTAAATGTACCACAGGCTAGTTCACATCTTTGTAGCTTTGGGGGAAGGGAGGTGGGTAAGGGGAAGAATATAAACCTTCAAAATATCTAGGTTATACTCAGATATAAACTCACGGAGCCAGATTCTCAGATGGGACAAATCTTCTGATGCTTTGTTGATTTCTGTAAATTGATTTACACCAGCTGAGGAATGTGTACATATTTATAGAATTTCCCATTTTTCATGGGGTGGAATGGATCTGGCCCCCCTCCCCTTTAAAAAAAAAAAAGAGCTATACTTGTATTGAAATTAAGAACAGGAATTAATCTAACTTTTTCTTCTTAGTGATTATAATTTTGACACAGAGACTGAACAATAGAAAATAGATGCTTACAATGATACAAGCTTTATTTCCTTCAACAAATTTCTGAGTTCTTTCAAATATATTATGTATTCTAATTTTATAAATACATAGTAAATTATATCCAGCAAGTGAAGAAAGGGTTTTTAAATAATCATAATATGAGCCAATGTAGGTTGCAAAACAGATACTCTGAGACAGAATTTTGCTAGTCCTATGGATTATTAAAGGGAAAGTTCTTTGTACAGCACATGTGGATACAATCACATTTGTGTTACAAAATCACAGTTTGAAACCATTGTTCTGCTCTTTCAATTCTAATTCTTTTACAGATAGACTTTTTTTGTGTCACTGTCACAGCCACAACTGTTAGCATGGGGTGGGCTACAATACTGTTGTACCAGTATTAACCTCTGACCAGACTCTGTTAAAACTAATGAACACCAGTAGGGGCTCTGTTTTACAGTGCACTTTCCCTGAAGTCAAATGTAAAGAACTTCCTTTATATTTTTATTTTGGCTATTAAAAAAATACAAATGAAACATAAAAGCAGCAAAGAAAATACATTGCAGTTACAAATAACATTTTTTAGCTTTGTTTACATATTTGTAGAACTGTTTCAAACATTTCTCTTTTGTTTGTAATAAAGTCAAGCATCTCAAAGTCTCTCCTCATTGTTCTCTTACAGTCCTACTACCTCCTGCAGCTTGTGCTTAAGGAGTCAAATTCTACTTACCTTACTCACAGAAGTATTCATCTTGGCTTCATTGAGATCTGCAGATGAGTAAGACAAATAGGATTTGGTCCAAAGGTATGAAATTAATATGGGAAAATATAAACATAGTTATGACATTTTCCAGTTTAAAGAAATAGGAAAAAAATCCATATTGTTTGTTTCTTCCAAGTTTTTGCTGATTGTCAACTAAATGTATATTTTCACTCTTGCATAGTAAGCTCTGTGTAATATACCATACATAATTGTTGCAATTTTAGTACATTTTCTTATTGTTCATTCATACCTAAAATTGCAATCAAAATCAGAACTTAGGACTTATATTGTAGTTTGTGAACCCCATCTCCCAGGCTTTACTTAGAGAGGCTGCACAAGGAGTTTTGCCTGTGAAAGGTTTGCATGATTGGGCCTATTAAATAATTCCGGGTAAATTAAAACATGTAATATTATTTACTCAGGTATTCAAGCTTTATTGCAAGCATTCAGTCTAAATTTAATTACCAAATGAATACTAGTTTGCACTCACTGTAAAACTCTTGTTATGTTAAGCTGTTAACTGTAAATCTGTCATCTTGTTTTTACTAACCCTCCCTGATTTTTGCTTAGTTTGAAAGTTGGCTCAATTAATTTCCAGCAAAGCATCACTATGTAGTAATTTTTTCCATAAAACCAAATAACTAATCAAGAATATTGTTTGGAGGTGGTTGAGAATACACACCCTGACTGCGTAACGTTTATGCAGCTATTGAAGACACAGAGCAGAGATCAGATCCCTAGTTGTTTGGCTTCTGTGGTATCTAAACATGTTTTTTATTTGGAGCCTAAATGTGATTTTTTTTTATTTGGTTTTTTTTTTAGGTTTTACTTTTCATTTTAACATCTCCTTAACTTTTAGGAGAAATGCTTGCAACTTTGTAGTTTTCGATTACTGACCAAATGTCTTTCTTCTCAAAAATAGATAGCTGTGCTTTTCCTTAAAGGCATAACAATCATCTTTGACATCAGCAACCATAGGTAAAACAGTGAAGGTTATGATGAGATATTGGCTACATAATTGGATGTGTTTACCTGTTGTTTTTGGAGTTTAATGTGCTTTTATATGTTTGTTTTACCATATCACTTGGCTTCTCGTTTAATCATTCCTCTGCTGACAGAGATTGGGGTGGGAAATGTTGGGTTTCCATGGAGAGCTGTGTAGTGGGGAAAAAAGGGAATTTAGAATCAAATTACAGAAAAACAGGCAGATATGGTTAATCTTCAGAGTCACTTGAATTTGAAGCAAAGCCCTTTTAAACATGTTTTTATGTGGGAACAAAAGATATACAGTACAGCTTTTTCAGGTATTCTAGTTAAAATATACTCAAGTGTGTTCGTGCGTGTTACTTTGGTTAGGGCATAGTGTAAGATTTTCTTTGACAGTGTTTGTGTGTAGAGTTTGTGTGCATATTTAGTGTGTGCATGGTTTTGGGAATGTTAGGTATGGCATGCGCATGTTTTATTCTGTGGATAGTAAGTCAAGTGTTGTGGTCTGAGCAAGATTATGTAAACTGCATTTGCTTATAACACTGTTGTGTGCCTCTGGGCTGTGTGGGTATAGGCTGAATTGGAGGTGTGCTACAAGATGAGGGGATATATAGGGTATATATGGTGGTATCTGTAAGGCACTGAGGGACTGTCAAAGAGTGTGCTTAGAAACTGTGTTCGTATAAGTTGAATTGTGGGTGTGCTACAAGGCAAGGCGGGGGATATAGATTATATGGTGGTGTCTAAGGTTTTGAGAGGCTGTCATGGGGTGTGCCTGGGGGCTGTGGGGGTGTAGGTTGAATTGTGGGTGTGCTACAAGGTGAGGGGGTATACAAGATATATGGTGATGTCTATGTGGTACTGAGAGACTGTCACAGAGCGTATCTTAGGACTGTGTGTGTGTAGGTTGCATTGTGGGTTGTGCCTATTGAGTTGTGTGTGGGCTGTGTGTGTGTGGAGTGTCTGGTGGATATTAGGCTCTGGGGGGGGTGTGTGTGAGAGACAGAGAGAGCACAGAGAAGGGTTCAACACTGAGATGAGTGTGTGTGTGTGAGAGAGAGAGCACTGAGGTGGGGGTGTGTGTGTGTGTGAGAGAGGGAGAGATGGGTTCAACAGTGAGGAAACTGTGTGTGAGAGAGGGAGAGATGGGTTCAACAGTGAGGAAAGTGTGTGTGTGTGTGTGATAGCACTGAGATGTGTGTGAGAGGGAGAGCACTAAGCGTTCAACAGTGAGGACAGAGTGTGCGCGCATGTGCGTGTCCGGCCTAGCTAACACGCTGCATGTGGAAACTCAGGAGCGCGACCTGCCTCCTTCCAGGATCTTCCCGCTCTTCGCCTTCAAAATCGAAACTCAAACCAAAGTTTGCAAAAAAAAAAAAAAAAAGACAGACATACTTTGCTGCATTGTCAGCAGCCGCCCGACCCGGCCCTGGGAGCGGGGGGCAGTTGGAGGCCGCGCTCTACCTGCCCGCACCTCTGGGCCCGGCCATGCAAATCGTGGCGGGCGCGGCGACCAATCGGGCGCGAGCTGCGGGCCTTGCGGGGCTGAGCCGGGCACATGCTGCCGCCACCGCGCGCGCGCCTCCCCGCTGCGCGTCCCTCAGCTGCCGCTGCCCCGGCTGCTGCGCCCGGACTGTTACACGCGCTCTGGGCGCACAGATACTACAGCTCGCTCGCTCCCTCCCTCCCACTCTGCGCTCTCCAGGCAGCCTCTGCTCCTGCTTCTGCTGCTCCCTCTCGCCCCTCTAGGACACAGCATTTGCTCTGCCCATTCCTTGGAAGTGGTTTTGCTCCGCTGGGCTCCGGCCCCACTGTAAAGCAGCAGGCAGACTCCTCCTGCCACCCGGCAGGGAGCTGCTGCAAGCTTTCCTGCCGCTCCGCTCCCCTCCCCTCCCTTCCCTGCCTCCCACAACCTCGGACCCACACCCTGGGAAGAGGCAGCTGAGCCACACACCGCCCTCCAAAGACCTTGTGCGATTCAGTGCACCAGCCATTTAGGACTGGGAACAGCAGCAGCAGCTCATTACAAACCAGGACCGGAGCCACACAGCCCTGCCAAGTCGCCTGCTCCTTCCGCGTGGGTTTCAGGCCAGTGAAGTGGATGGAGAAGAAAACAGGGATGCGACTGAGCCACATTTGCTGCATTTTTTATCAGCTGTGTTTCCTGTCAAGTGGAATAATTTCAGGTAAATTTATCCTTCTCTCATGTCTGTGCATTTCCCCTCATTACAAGGGGGGTGGGGTGGGGATATCAGTGGTCCAGCATGTCCTTGGTGCTTTCTCTCCTCTGCTCACGCTAGCCTTACTATGCTGCTAGCCCCTACATCTGTTCACGGATGGATCAAGCATATATAAAAAGGACAAGGAGTGATTCTCAGCTGTGCAGGGCTTCTTGTATTACATCTTGTTCCTTCTGTGCTTATGACTGTATCCTATATTTTCTTATTTCTAAATGACCTAGCCGTGTTGTGTGGCTGTCCACTAGTTGTGAATAACCATCTCTCTATGATTTGTATGTACGTTACCCAGCTGTGGACCCACCGGCTTGACTAGAAATGTCACTCCATAAAGTACTTGGGGAAACGTATGACAGCTTCTACATTACACACAGACATACTTTGCATGAATATGCTCTGAATGTGATCTTGATAGAGGTTTTGTTTTGGTGTGTGTGCACATGCGCACGTGTGGCTCAGGGATGTGTGTTTAGCCGCACTGTAATAATATGTATACTATGATAGCACAGGCAGTCTTAAAAAGGGCTGATGGCAACACCATTTTCATGAATTTTGTCCATTTTTTTTCACTGCAATGTCAACCAGCTTTTATGACCACCTCCCGAATGAAATGTCTTTGAAAAAGTTTTGTCATGTTTTTGCATAAATGATTTTTTTTGGTCTAAGCCTGGCGTTAAATAGGAGGCATTTACTAAAGAAACAAGTATGATGACAGATAGGAATACACACACAGCTTCCATGCAGCTCAGTTTCCAGCTCTGTCTCCAGTGCTTACCAAGAACGGCATCCTGTCTGGGATTCCTCAACAGCACATATGAAAACCTAGTGACTGACTACATGTCACACCGTATAGGGAGGGGAATGCAAATTTGGTATGTTTTGTATGATGGGTTTGGCAGTAGGGAGCACTGACTGTCAGTGCCACCAAGTCTGAATTGTGTGTGGTGGCCTATACTGTGATTTTTGTGAGGTTGTGTAGATGTGCCTTTGCCTATATCGTTTAATCACAGCCTGGCCTTCCTACAGGTCTGCATGCTTCAGGAGACTCTGAGGAATGGGAGATTGTCTTCCCAGCACTGTGGAGCAGGGGCCAGCAGGAACCGGCTGGAGGCAGTGGTGGAGGAGGCAGCTGCAGTACTGATCCCAACTGTGGGAATAAAAGCAGCACGAGCAATGCTCCCACCACCGCTAGTCCAGTGGCAGGCAGCTCCCGTGAGGTTCGTTCAGTCTCCTCTTCAGTAGACAGGCAGCCACAGCCGGCTGGAGAGGCAGCGGAGGAGGAGGACACAGAAGATGAGTATGAGTCTCAGGAGTTCTATCACTGGTCTCCACTTCCTCAAGGATCTGGTGCTACTTCTCAGCTACCCCCACCACCTTCCCCACCTCCACCTCCTCCTTCAGAGGATGGGGATGAGGTGCTGCTGAGAATCCCGGCCTTTGCCCGGGAGTTCTACCTGCTGCTTAAGAGGGACAGCCGCTTCCTGGCCCCTGGCTTTGCAGTAGAGGAGCGTCTCAGGGGCGAGGGGAAAAATCCTCCAGGTGCTGCGCAATCTCAGCCTGAGAGAGCCTGTTACTACAGTGGTGCTGTGCTTCACTACCCTGGCTCCTTCGCATCTTTCAGTACTTGTGGTGGATTGGTAAGGCAGATGCTCCCTTCAAGCAGAATCTCTCTCGCCTCCATTCTAGCTTCATGATCATCTTGTCCTTCCTCCCAGTTCCATCCCATTTCCTACAATCTTTTCTTACCTATCCCTTCCCTCCCAATCCCTGCCTTCCAAGCCTCTCATACTACCCTCATTCCTAATCCCAAATCCCATCCACACCTTCTGAACAGTCCTATCCCTGTCTTTTTCCTGCTCATTACTTTCTCTAGCTTTACCCAACTTTATGTATATTCTGTTACCCAGTCCCAGTCCTGCTCCATCCAAGTCCCATCTCTGTTTGGATTGTCTTCTTTTCCCACTTCCTTCTCAGTCCTCTTGTCCTCCCCATCTTCCTATCCTCAGTATCTCCATTTCCTTCTGTAGTTCCATTTATAATCATCTGATCCTTTTTCCTCCTTCCACTTCCACATTCTCTTTCACATCTGCATTTTCTACCTCTTCCATAGCTTAACCCAATGTCTTTACCATCTCCTCATCTTTCTTTTACCTCATTCATCCTCCTGTCTCCTCCCCCCTCATACCTAGTTGTATGGAGTCAAAGAGTGACTTTCTTTTTTTTAAATTTTCTTTCATAAAATTACAAATTGAATATGTTTGCAGTTGAAATGCTAATACAACTCAACATTTCGGTGTTTTGGTTTGTTTTTTTTTACTCTAGGGACAATGGAGTCTTAAGTGATACCTGGGGCAACTTCCCTTAAGTTACTTCTGATTTACACGAGCATGAGATCAGAATTGGGCCCACAGAAGCAATGGTGTATCATAATGAACTGGAATCCCAGGATACTTAGTAGTGGATGGAAGCAGAACAGGCAGCTAAAATGATATAAAATCTTGGCAGGGTTTAAAACAAAGGCAATTAGTCTTATTCATATTGGGTTTTTATATAGCACTATAAGTATACACTCTTGTAGGACTTCACAAAATGTAAAATAAGAGTAGAGATGGTGATGAAAACAGCTAGCAACACTCACCCTGTGCACCTTGGTTTTTTGTGGCTAGATAGGTGTTGGTCTATACTAACTATACAAGGCTTACTTGGTTTCATTCCAAAATTGAACATCGGACTCAGGCCAGGATAGATTACTTAAGGTTTACATAACTTTTGCGCGAAATTAGCAGTTTTGTGTGGTTATTATGGGAAAGAATGTAAAATGTAGAGATACTGACTTAATTTTCCTTTTCTTGTTTGGATTTATTCAAACCCAAAGCTTATACTAAAACTGGTAGGGGAGGGAATGCTTGTGGATTAATACCAAACACAATATTTGTCTACACTCCTGCAAGGTGAAATCGCCAAGTTTCACACAGCTCTCAGTGGTAGTGGCTGGCATCTAATTATTGATGTTTTGTCAGATTTTCCAAAGCATAGTAGCAGAATTAATTGGTAAGAAAAATACTTGAGTCAATTGAGGGTGGTCTGAAATCTATCAGTAGCTTTTTAATACTCTGAGGAGGTTATTTGGTTTATACTATTTTTGCTCTTGATGCTATTTTACTTCTCTCTAATAATGCATATGTGCAAATGTGCGCAACATAGGACTGAGAAGCTCATCAAAGAAATTAGGTGATAGGTGAATAAAGGTGCATGACTGAACACAAGAACATAACAATTGTCTTTTATTAGGTCAGATCATAGGTCCTTCTTGCTCAATATCCTATTTCACACAGTGGTAGACAGTGGATGCTGAAAGGTACCGTGAGCAGGGTATGACCGGGGTTTTTCCACTGTTCCTCTCTCACTTGCAGCCTCCAGCATTTAAAGTGTAGGAAGTTTTGATTCAGAGGTTGTACCCCTAATTACCATGCTTAAGAGCTACAGATATACCTTTCTTCTAGTAATTTGTCCAATCCCTTTTAAAATCTAGTTAAATTGTGAACTTCCACAATATCTTGTGGCAATGAGTTCCACACTTTACAAGCTGTGTGAAAAAGAACATCCTTTTGTTACTTTTAAACTTACTACCTAATAGCTCCCTTTATGACCCATAGTTCTTCTGTTATGAGAAATAGTAAATAATAAATTCCCATTTACTTTCTCTTTACCATATTTGTAAACCCTTATCGTGTCTTCCCTCAACTGAATGGGCCTAGCCTCTCTGGTCTTCCCTCATATGGAAGCCCCTCTCTACCAGTAATGATCCTTGTTGCTGTTGTTGATACCATCTCTAGTTCTTCTGTATCCTTTTTGAAGTGTGGGGGCCAAAACTGGGCACACTACTTAAGGTGTAGATGCACCATGGATTTATAAAGGGGCATAATAATGCTTTTTGTTTAGTTTACAATTCCCTTCTTAATAATTCTTAACATTTTGTTTGCCTTTTTTGACAGCTGAGCTGATGTTTTTAGCAAACTCTCTGCAGTGACTCCAGATCTCTTCCCTGTGTTGTAACAGCTAATGTGGAACCCATCATAGTGTAGGTATAGTTTGGGTTATTTTTCCCATGCTCATCACTTACCTACACTGAATGTAACCTGCCATTTAGTTTCCCATTGACTCAATAGTGTCAGATCCTGTAGTTCCTCTCAGTCTGCCTTAATCTTTACACTTTGAATAATTTTTCCTCATCTGCAGATTTGGCCTCTTCAGTACCCACCCCCTTTTCTGCATCATTTATGAATATGTTAGACAATGCTAGTCCCAACACAGATCCCTGGGGGATCCCACTATTTACATCTTTCCATGCTGAAAACTGACCATTTATATTCACCCCTTGTTTTCTATCTTTAAACTAATTTCTAATCCAGAAATAGAACTTCCGTGTAATCCTGTGACTACCTGACTTCTTTAAGAACTTCTGAAGGGGGACTTGGTCAAAAGCTTTTCTTGGAAGTTCAGATACAGTGTGTCATTTGGATCACCCTGACCACCTGCTTATTGACACCCCCAAATAACTGGGTAAGGCATGATTTCCCTTTGACAAAACCATGCTGACTCCTCCCCAGCTAGTCTTGTTCATCCACGTGCTGAACAGTTCTTTTTCTTATTATTGTTTCTATCAGTTTTCCAGGAACAGAAGTTAAGATCACCACCCTGCAGTTCCATGGGTCCTCTCTAGAGCCTTTTTAAAATATGGGCGTTACATTGGCAAACTTCCAGTCCTTTGGTACCAAACCTGTTTTTAGTGATAAGTTGCAGATTATAGTTAGAAGTTCTGCAATTTCTGATCTGAGCTCCTTCAGGACCTTAAAGTGAATGCCATCAGGTCCTGGTGAGTTGCTGCTGTTTAGTTTACCAGTTTTCTCTATGACCTCACCTACTGAAATCTCAGTTTGGATCAGCTCCACCGACTTGTCCTTAGAGAGGAGTGGATCTGGTGAGGGAATCTCCCTAACATCTCACACAGTAAAGACAGATGCAAAGAATGCATTTAGTTTCTTTGAAATGGCCCTGTCATCCTTTAGCACCCCTTTTAGACTCTGCTCATCCAAAGGTCCAGCTGACTCTCTGGCAGGCCTTTGGCTTCTAATATACTTAAAGATTTTCTTACTGTAACCTTTTAGATCTCTAGCAAGTTTCTCCTCATATTCTTTCTTAGCTTGTCTTATGGTTTTACATTTGATTTGCCAGAATTTCTGCTCTTTTTTGTTTTCCACATTAGGATTTGTTTTCCACCTTTTAAGAGATGCTTTTCTTTCTATTGATTGACTCTGCAACTCTGCCATTAAAACATGATGGCTTTCTTTTGGTCTACTTTCCATATTTTTTTTCATTTGCGATACACATTTTCTCTGTTAATTCAATATGGTGTTCTTAAGCAGTTCCCATGCTGCTTGTAAGTTCGTCACCTCCTTAGAGGTCCTTTTTAACTTCCATCTAACTAATTCCTTATTTTGGTATATCTCCCTTTTTAAAATGAATGGCCACTAGGGCTGTGCAAAACTGCTGTGTTTCGTTTCGGTTTAGGATTCGGCCGTTTTGGAGGACAGTGATTTGTTTTGGTGTTTTGGCTCATTGTTCCATTTCAGTTTGGCTGAACTTGTTTCAGAGTTTTGGCAATGACTCAGAGATTCAGATTGGCTGGGGAGAGGCAGGCACAGCTGGGTGGCTGCATGTTCTCCCGCTGCTCCTCTGGCTGTGCCTGCCTCTGCCCCTGTGGGGGGAGCCACAGGAGAAGCCCCATGGCTGCCCTGCCCGGCCCTCTCCTCCACCTTGCCACAGCCTCTTGGCACTTTAAAAGGAGGGCTGCAGGGCTGTGCTAGATTATTCCCAGGGAACACCTCCGAAACATCCGAAACATTTTGGATGGTTTAATTTAGATTCGGAGCCTTCCGTTTTGTTTCGGATTCGGTGTTTTGGGCACTGAAAAGGGCCGAAACGCCTCTGAAATGAAATGGCTGCCCAAATTTTGCACAGCTCTAATGGCCACTATTGTAGATTTTTCTTTTTTTATCTCCTCTCCTATATGAATGTCAAATCCAATTGCATTTTGGTCACTATTGCAGAGCAGCTCAGTAACACACTTACCTTTTGAACCAGGTCCTGGGCACTACTTAGGACTAGGTCAGAAATAGCCTTTCCCCTTGTAGGCTTCAGGATTAATTGTTCCAGAAAGCAGTTTTTGTGATGACAAAATAATGGTTTCTGCATCCTGGCCTGATGTTAGATTTAGTGTATTTGTGGATAATTGAAGTTGCCCATTATTACTGTGTTTTCTGCTTTTGTAGCCTCCATTATCAAGTCTGTCTTGCTGCTGTCCAGATCTGGGGCTCGATAGTATATATCCAGACATACTCTTTTTTTCTGTTGAAACGTAATTTCTATCCACAGAGATTCTATGGTCTTATCTTATGGCTTATAAAATCTACGCTATTTGATTCAATTCAATCTTTGATGTTGAGTGCCACTCTCCCACCAATACAACCTGTTTTATTATTCCTGTAATTTGTATCCTGGTCAAAAGTAATATGTATTATAGCTCATATTTGCGAAAGGTGCTGCCTTTTTCAATCTGTGAACTGATCATTCATCA